GATTTCCCTGATAGGGTGAGGCCTGGCTGTGTCATGGTGACCGAGAGCAAAATGGGAGTGAAAGTGCAAGTAAATGGTTCGTTTAACATATCTCAATTTAAGCTTTGCATCGTAGCAGCTTTTAAAGGACATTTTCATATTGGCCAATGGACAAGGGCAGACAGTTATATTCATATAAAATGTGCTTGTCAATACACAATATATTATCTAGGTAACCAGCACACGCTGGTGTGGCAGAAGTGCTGCCTCTGCCCTGAGAGGGTTTGCTGGTTGGGTACAGCTATATTCAGATTTTTATGCAGTAAAATGGTTTCCAATTAGCCATGGATTATGTACGCTGAAGGAAGTACCTAGGTCTATCAGGGGTAGGGTTAGGGACAGGGTTGATTTTTCTAGAAGTGAATCTCTCTCACTCACCCATTAGTTTGGAAATATTACTTTATTACATGCTCCGTCCATCACCGACCAAGGGAGATGCTGAAAGCTACTCCAACTCAGAGCTGGAGTATTTGGGACACTTCTTTACCATTGCAGGATGAAATTACTTGATTCATAGATCATTAGAGTCTGGAAGGGACCTTGCAGATCATTGTTTAAAATTCATGTAAAATTCCTTTAAAAGCAGTAGAAATAAAGCACTGGAAACTACAGAGCAGGGAAAATCCTGCAAAGGCCCTTTGAGTTCTTGTCCCCATGGTTCATAGTCAAGTTGGTTAGGTCAGTCATCAAAGGTCATTCATTTTCCTTATACATCCCTCTTAGCAATGCCCAGTACTTTAGCTGCCTCCTCTGAGGTGGGAAAAAAGAAACCTAAGGAGCACAGGACTGGGTCATTATGTCCGGTCATGTACCCATAGAAAAGTAGGACAGGCAGGGCCTTCAGGAGGTCATCGCGACCTAAAAGTGGGTTGCAAAAATATATGAAAGGGTCGCGAGCAAATTTAAAAAAATGGATCAACAGCCTTTAAAAATGGATTTGACTTTAAAAGCGCTGGGTCAGGACTGGTCAGTGATGCTTACAAATGGGTTGTAAAAAAAATTGAGAACCATTGATCTAGTCCAGCTGCTGGCTCAAGGCAGCATCGCACCTGCTTTAACCAAAGAAATGTCCATCCAACCTCTATTTCTAGTGATGGAGATGCCTGCTTTCACTTGCAATCATCTTATATTAACCTATTAAGCTCCATCTTAAATCTGGTTAGCATTTTTGCTCCCTCTCCTCCTTATGGGAAGCAGGTCCCAAACTTCACTCCTCTCCTGTCTAGAAACCCTCTAGTCATTGCTGGGTTCTTCCCTCCTTTTGAAGAGGGGTGGCGCACCCTTGGCAAATTAAGGACTGACCATTTTAGCACTTGCTTTTCAACTGAAGATGGCATAAAAGGCAGTACCTCCTCCTGATCTAGCCATCGCAGCATGTCCTACAGTCTCATGCGGGGTTTGGAGGATTGTGATCCACTCCTGAGGTCTGCTACAGGAAACAGTTAACTTCCCTTAAGTTTACAATCTAGTTTTCCAATTTACAGAGGCATCTTGGGTGCGCGAATCTTGAATGCACCACAGTTTAAGCGAAACGGCTTGCCTAAATTACCACTTTCTCCAGGAGTAATACCGCTGTAAATCTCCCGCTTAGTCAGCCGGTAGAGGGTGGTTGTCAACTGGCGTTCTGCTCCGGTCTAAGTTACCATGTGCATTAAAAGGGGGGGAAAAAATTCAGAGCATTTATTTATTAATTTATTTATTTACATGTATTTATTCAAATTGTTTACATCTGTTTCTTAAACTGCACTGGAAATGTGGGGGGGGAACCTCTCATGGCTCACACATATTTACATAGTGTTTAATGAATGATAAATAAGACGTTTATGAAGCATGTGTAAGTGGCCTGTTTGCACACGGGACGTAAACTATGTAAATGTCTCGCGTCTTTCTCATGCCATCAGACTGCCTAGTGCCACTACCCGGGATGCTCCGAGGGGAAAGCTATTCCAGCAGCCTGAGACATTACTCATTATTGCCCACTGAAGTCTTCCTGGTGACTTCCATAGTTATCTCTTTGGACTCTGTTTTCAGTTGCTTTGTGAAGATTTCCTCCTTTTAAGCTGAAGTTTTCCATGTTTGGCACATGCCAAGCAGTGAAAACAGGGCTCATCGTTAAAAAGATGACATCTACCAACTGTGGTATCTGAGATGTTGTGTGATCTCTAGTCACTTGAAGTAGGACCTACCCATATTATCTCAGATACTAGTGATGGTGAATACCACTTTTAAATGATGCCCGTTTTATATTTGGAAGAAGACGTGTATGTGTTTTTTATAAATAAATAAATACATACATACATAGAGGTAGGTATGCATGCACACACATTATATAAATATGAAATCATTAAAATATCAATATATAGAGCTGTCACAGTGCACTCAGGTGCCCTGCACCTGAGAGCGGGGACTGCTCTGGGGAAAACTGGCAGAAAGGGGGAGGCTCAGCTGCCAGCCACCAGGGCTGCACAGGTGCTGGTTGCCGGGACAACTGGTAAAACCAGCTGACCAGGAAGGGGCAGGGCTTATCCCTTCTTAAGCCCAGGTAGGAGGCCAGGAAGACAGTCCCTCTCCAGCAGCCGTGGGAGTAGGGACTCAGCCCAGGCAGATGGAGGGGAGGACTCTGGCCATGAGAGCATCCCCTGATCACTACTGAGGTTGGTGGAGCCCGTCTTCCCCCACTCCCCCGCTCTCTAGTAGGGAGTAGATTTTTGTTCAACCAGACGGTCTAGTTTTTTTGTTGTAGCCCAGGATCTTTATGTTTTATGGTTACTGTTTTGACCGGAGGACCGGGTGAGGCTAATAGGGGTTGGAGGAACCCTCAGCGGGGCTCAACAGGGGTGGGGACCCTGGTGCCAGTGAGGGCACCGCATTCAGGGGTGCACTACCCCGGCCCTGAGAAGGGGCACAGAGGACGGGGGCCAGGTAAGGACGAGGCTGCCTGAGCCCCCCACAGGAATCGTTGACCCAAGCAGGGGATTTAGGGGCCAGGCATGGCCGTGGCCACCTGGACCCCAAGCGCAGAGAAAGGTCCTAGTGCGGGCAGAACCCCAGGGAGGGGCGTGCAGGCAAGAAGCCCAGTGAGGGTGAGAGCATTGCGGTGAGCCCCGGAGAGGGCAAGAGCATTGCGGTGAGCCCTGGAGAGAGCGCGCGCATATTGAGAGGCCCCGGAGAGGGCGCGTGCATATTGAGAGGCCCTGGAGAGGGCGCGTGCATATTGAGAGGCCCCGGAGAGGGCGCGTGCATATTGAGAGGCCCCGGAGAGGGCACGTGCATATTGAGAGGCCCAGAGAGGGCGCGTGCATATTGAGAGGCCCCGGAGAGGGCGCGTTCTTATTGAGAGGCCCAGAGAGGGCACGTGCATATTGAGAGGCCCGGAGAGGGCACGTGCATATTGAGAGGCCCGGGAGAGGGCGCGTGCATATTGAGAGGCCCCGGAGAGGGAGTGTGCATATTGAGAGGCCCCAGAGAGGGCACGTGCATATTGAGAGGCCCAGAGAGGGTGCGTGCATATTGAGAGGCCCGGAGAGGGCACGTGCATATTGAGAGGCCCCGGAGAGGGCGCATACATATTATGAGAACGTCAGGTACATCTGCGAGGTTTGGGCTGCAGTGTAGGGGAGGAAAGGAGCCGCAGGTAGTGCCCCCTGTCATTGGGGCGCGGAAAAAATGGGCAGCATCCTGCTGATTACAACCATCTTCTAATCAAATAAGATCAAGGCATGGCAGGCTAGTAAACAGGCAGTTGGCCCATTACAGGAGGGCAGAGCCACTCCCAGAAAGGCTCCAATATGGATACTCCTGTCACAATAGCGTAAAAAATAAACACATGTATTATGTGTGTGTGTTTATTATATATCTGTGTGTATTTATGATATACATAATATGCATATTATAGATAGATAGATCGATAGATAGATAGATATAATATAATATAATATACATACGCACATGTATATGTATATGTGTATGTATATGTACACACTCTTCCAGACACAAAGTGGGCATAATTTAAATGTGATGTTTAATATGCAATAAAAGTGATATATAGTATGTATGTGTTTGTCTAGATATATTCATAATATGAATGGGAACATTTATATATATGTTTATAAGATAAAATCTTCATTTACAGGCTGTGGCTTCCATTACATTTAATTACTTCCCCCAGTGCTCTAACTCAAAGAACAATTCAAAATAGAGACAGCTTCCGTTAAACTCAATTAATTCTCCTGAAGCTATATGGGAAAGTAGTGGCTACTAAACTAGAGTACTTCCTATCTGAAGGTCATTTCTAAACGCCATCCTTGTCTATGCTCCCTCTGGATGGCAGCCTGGAATATTGCCAGTGTTTTATTTCCTGGATTTGTTTGCAAAGATTAAGCAAAGAGAACTGATTCATGAGACTTTCAATATGAATTTTCAGAGTTGACTACAGGTCAAGTGCTCTTCTACCTATTGAACATCCAAGTGAACTTTGGTGCCTAAGTATGACTCTGTTCCACCCTGTTCAAGTCCTACAAGTCCATTAGTGCCTCTGCTTTTGCAACATAGTCACTGTCCCCTTAAGACTGAGTCACCAAAAAGCAGTGAGAAAAGGAAAACCAAACCCACCTTTTGCATTGAGTGTTTTCAAGAACTCAAGCAGGGTGTGATAGACTTGTATGTAGGCACCTGCACCCACTTATACACCCAATAGATGCAACAAAAATTGACCCCAAGTCATTTTAAGTCTCCCAGTATTTTGTTGCCCAACTTGAGATGCCTTAAAGTAGCCTGATTCTCAGGTACTTTCTGAAAACCAGGCTCTGGCAATGCGTTTTGAGTTGGGCACTCGCCGCTTTGGAAAATGCATTCCCTCGGCAGAATATCCCGGTGGTCTCTTTCTTTTGCGTGTTGTTGGAGCCAGCTTGGCTTTCAGACTCCTCCTGAAATATGGTAAGCATCTCTTTATTTTGTTCCAGAAGACAGAAAACTCTTTGTGGGCATGCTCAACAAGCAGCAGTCAGAGGACGACGTGCGCAGGCTATTCGAGGCATTCGGAAACATTGAGGAATGCACAATCCTTCGGGGCCCTGATGGCAACAGCAAAGGTAAGTAGGTTCCCCAGTGCACTTCCCCACAAACCAGACTCAACGCAAAAAGTCATATTATTCCCCATTAGAACAGGGTAACTCCTTGGCAGAACAGTGTTGCCCATTGGGTAGGGCCAAGCTTTCCAGAAAGGGCTCTTCCTTTGTGGGCCAAAATCTCTGGTGGTTTGAATAGACAACACTCCATTGAAGCCCTTGCAAACCAGCAGAGTTTGACCCCACATCGGCAGGACAAGCATGCATAGAAATAAGTGACTAATTGTATTTGTAGACTCATGCCTGCAAGTGGTATATCTCTAAACTAGTTTCACCACAATCTTAACACAATCACATTTGCCTTTCCCCATCTTCAGCCACTTCCAAGTCCCATCTGATCCCTAATTGGCTTCATATTATTTGTAATATAATAATATTCCCATCTTTCTACATGTGGTGCAGACACAGAGATAGTTTTTGCCTCTAGGAGTGTGCAGTCTAGCACCGGCAGGTACACAAGACAAGGTCATGCATTAGATCAGCGGTACAGCAGGTCTTTACCCAGGTCTCTCTTCGCTTCTCTCTCAACCCCAATGCCCAAATTCCTCTTCTGTTATTATCTTACATACTACCCTGCTTTGGCCACTAGATTTCATACTCAATTCTACACAAATTAATCTTTTTGGAGGTTGCTTCTGTGCCCAGCGAAAGCAGTCAGCGGGAGTTTGGACAGTCCAGTTGAAGGCATAAGCAAAAGTGCTACCCAAAACCCAAAAGAAAAGCAGTTCTTGAAATACATTCAGCACAGTGGGTTAAAAAAATGCCAATTCTTTTTCACGGAAAATTTGTTTTTACAGACTATTAGCCCTAATTTCATTAAGAAATTCAAAATCAGATTCTTTTTCTGTTTTTGGTTTAAAAATTAGTTTTGAAAACCCCAACTCAAACCCAGAGAAATTGGAGGAATACATTTTGGGGGAGTGGAGGGTCTATCACATAAATTAATTCATCAATTAAGCCAGCAATGGGTCAGCCATAATTAGTTCAGCTAAGCTGGGAACTCAGATTTCTCAACTAACTCCCAGTACTGTGCTTGTCCTAATTAAATGGGCTAGGATCTTCCCCATCCTACAAAAGTGGCTAAAGTTTTGGAGGAGAAAGAGAAGGAAAAGACTCATCTTGCAGTTGCTCCCAAAAGAATTCAGTCAACACCCAAACAAGTCAGATGCTCATGGCAGGGTAAAACAAATGCGATGGCAAAAAATATGTGCATTCTTGAACAATGCAAAAACCCACACTAAAAATAGGATTTGGTGCTTGCAAGAGAGACCAGTACCCACTATATCTATCGTCAATACATTTGTGCAACTGCCAAGTAACAAGTGCACAGGAATGATGGCGTGTGCACCTATTGCACTGTGATTGAAGCATCGCACCCAGTTGGTTCGCATTTGTCATCTCCAATTTCAGTGTTCCTATCTCAGTTTCGACATCCCAGTATTTAAAATGAGGACAGTGGTGTCATCACATTGACTACCCAGTAATTGGCCCTTTTGTGATGTACCTTGCTACCTCAACAATTAATGCTGGGGGAGTTCTGTCTTCGGAGGATGACACAGCAACAGTGTCTGAACACGGCTTTTCCAGCTGATATCAGGGTCATTTTCCCAGCCATTTCCTAGACAAAGTATCTTCAATTTATATAGGAAGCCTTCCTCTCTTGACAGTAAAATATGTCCATTAAATATTGATCTGCGTATAATATATCATCAAATGTGCTGTCATGTGCAGCACCGAAGAAGGTACAAGTCCTGCTGATGCAGTTCATATGTCACCGGATATTTTGACATGTGACAACATCAACTGGCATATTTCTGCAAAATGGAGGTGGAAGGATCTAACCGCAGTGATACATCTGCGAAAGACGCTGATATGCCATAAAGTCACTTCCAGCCAATAAAGCTTCTTCACGCTTACACAGACATCAGCTGGAGACCGCGCTCTGCAACAGCGGGGGGAAAGCATGGAGCCTCATCTGTGCTGCAAAATTTGGTGGCCAGAGGCTGACTTTGGTTGCCTGAGGTTTGCATGCATTCCCTTGCCAGGCTCCCTGACTAGGTACAGGCATTCAGAAAGCCCGAGGCAGAATTGGTCTAAATTACGCAGCTATCTGTAAGGGTCATCGTGCTGATGGGTAGCAAACTGAACACACGTTTGCTCTTTGGTGGGGGGGTGTAAATCTTAGACCGGGTTCCAACATTTTTAAACCAGAAGCCCGAACTTCTGTTCTGTTACGAGTATAGACCTTTTTTTGTGTGCTGAGCTTCTATTCCTGTTATACTAGTAAAATTGCAAAGTCTGTACCTGCCCCAGTGGCCAGCATCCAGCTGCCAACAGACCCCAGCGTGTCTGGCAAACTTCTGCAGTAGGGCAGCATCCGCAGCCGTAAGCCCTGAGCTCCTATCCCCGTTGCACCCTGGTTTTCACTGGCTTTTACTCACAGTGAAGGTACACAGCACCAGCAAAAGCCACTGAGCATGTGCAAAGTCACCAAAGTCACATCTGCACTCAACCTGCCTCTGTCACCAAGACTCCTGACAGCGGCCGGGGTGCACGTATGCCCAATTGCCCACGTGTTTCAGGAGGCTTCACGTGTCTCCCTTGCAGCAGCTTGGACCACCCAACACTCTTTCCTGCCCGGAGCAGGGGGTCGGACTCGATGACCTACTGAAGTCCCTTCTGACCCTAACATCTCTGAAGCTATGAATATGAAGTGCAGTCTGGGAATGAGCCATGGCAGCTGTTTGATGGCATGAAAGTGTCCGTCTATGCCCTCAAACAGCTGGTGGGCAGCAGCAGAGAGGGGGTAACTGCTGGCAAAGGGGAGGGCTTTGCCACCTTGCCCTAAAAGGGGCCTGGGCTGGGCAGCTCTTTGCAGCGCAGACTGGATGCTACCTTGACCTCCGCTGATGTTAGTGGGAGCCTCTTTGCTGGGGACCTGGCTCTTGCTCCCATCACAGCTTTGCCATTGTCCTGCATGGTGCCTCGCCGCTCTCTTGTAATCCCTGTGCAAGTGTCAGCCTGACGGTGGCTTGAAAAGAAAGCACACGCACGTGGGGACCTGCATCGTGACACGGGTTGCTCAGATCGTTTGCCGCCCCATTGTGTGACCTGGGCAGGCTTCCTTAATTACAACTTCATCTCTTCGAGGCTGGGACTCGGTCTCTTTCTCCCCCGATCCTTTCGCTGTCCCATCCATTTGATCCTGCTGCTCCTCTGTGTGGCTTTAAAGTGAGTCAAATGAATGTAGCGCTGTGCTGACATCCCCCTGAACACAGCACACATGTTTCCTACTCACCTCCCTGCCAAAAGCCTCCCAGAGAGGGGCATTTTCTAGGAGCCAAGAAGAGAGAAACAAAACCTGAGTTTAACTTTGCTTGCAATGTTTTGGGACAGAAGTTGCCTCGTCTTTAGCTAGAGTGATGCTTGACAGGGGTGAAATGCTCCATTCGTTGGGGAAAAGTCAGCTGGGATGAAGGAAAGCAAGAAATCCATGTGTCTTTCTATGCCCACCCAAAGTTGTAGGGAATAAAACCTTAACCATGAAGAGTCTGAGATGCAATAATAGCAAGGGTACTAACCACGGACATCTGTGAACACCTGGTGTCAAGGCGAGGAGGAGGGTTAGACCTGAAATTTTCATTCACCGATTCCCTCTCTCTCTTTCTCTCTTTTTTGTTTCTCCCATGATGTCATTATAAGCCTAAACCTGAGTGGCAGCTCCATATTGCTAACCGGTTTAATTATTAGTGCTGGCAGGCTGCTGTCTCGGGCTTGCTTTTCGCAGAGCGGTTGAAGATCAATACGATGCCTCGATGGAGTTAATATTCCCCGTTTCCATTTGCTGGTGCTATTTACTGAAAACGTGAGGCTCCTGATGCTCCCCCCCTCACTCACACATGCACAGCGGTCAGCCGACCAGCACGCTGAACTTTATAACTCATGAGACAGTCGGGTGCGGGGTGGGACCCAACACCAGCCCCCAAGTAACCTGCTAGCTCGATGGAGCACGTCTGCTAGAGACCGATGTAAGACAGCTCACCGGCAGAGCTAATCACTTCGTTATACAAGCATGGTATAGGAGGGGGGAAGGAAGGAAACACCCTTCTTCTGTAGCCTCATCTAGACTAGGATTTCAGCTGCATCTGCAGTAGGATACAACTGGGGGTTGGACGAGATGCCTTCCTGAGATCCCTTCCAACCCTAATTGTCTAGGCTAGGAAGAGGCTATATTTTTTAACCCGTGTACATCTTGTGCTAGACAAGGCAATCCTCATTTTAGCAGGGAACTGGCGGAGGTTGTTATTCTGCTTTTCCCCACTGTGGCAGCAGATCTCCCCCATCATGGTACCTATCATGGGAAATGCTGCAAATACTATCTGTCTCATGCTCCCTTCCCTTCCCATTTCTTATAGTGTTTTGGACAGTAAAAAGCAGATATTCAACTATTATGAATTTCTGTAACTCCACTAAAAACATTTTGAGCCGTTTAATTGTTCGGGGTGCCCCCCTTTGTGGGTACCCAGCTGGAAACACCTGGGAGACACCTGTTGATCTTCAGACCATGCACATTCACAGCATGATCAAGGCCTTGGCAGCGAACTCTGATTCCTATGGGAGTTAGACATCAAATCCAATGAGTCAAGGATCTGCATATGTCAGTGCCTAAATACTTTTAAAAGCTGGGAGGACTGGGAATATGATGTCAATAGACCCTGAAAGGGAGCCCTTCTGATGCTCTGGCAGCCCCAGGACCCTGAGCCCTCAAACTCCTTTATGCAAGAGCTCAAAAAGGATGATCACAAAGCTCCTTCCATGAAGGAAGAAAGGGAAAATGTTTTATGTCCCTCAGTCCTCAGGCTAGGATGGACAACTGCTTCTGTGCCTCATCCTTATCGGTCCTGTGGTTGCTACAGCTCTCGGCAAGGGAGCTTAGTCGTCTAGTGCAAGCCTAAAGGCTCGTGTTCTCCACTGCCCTGGTCCTGGCTTCCATCCCCAAAGAGGACCGAGATATAACTTTGCACACGCGAGTTTTCCCACCAACTACATGCATAAGCAAGGATGTCCGTGGAAGTTAGGAGGCTGAAGGAGTAGGGTTCTAGCCACTGCCTTATAAAAGGACTTTTCGAAGCGTTAAATCCTAATCCTGGTCTCCCAGATCATTCCTGGACCATCGTGGCTATGTCACTGTCACCCTGCCAGGTCTGAGTTGGTTGCACTCTTGCAAAATCTAAGAATTGCAGGGGCTGGGGGCTGCCCCGGCATCCTGGGCGTTAAGCAGGATAGGGCCCATCTTCACCATTCTTGTGCAGATGAGAGCGCTTCACCCTGCAAAACGAAGGAGTCCAAGACACAGCCAAAATCCTGCTCTATATGCAGTGGATGACGGGAGCTGGGAAGCTTTTGTATACTCCCTAATCAGCATCTTCTTTTTCAAGACAGAAAGTACAAAAGAATCTCGGCAAATAATTAAACACCCTAATTCTGGATTATCTCTGATTAATGAAGAGGAAGGCGCGGTATCTCAGGAGCCCTGGAATGCCGGTCTGCGATTATGTCATAATTGATCCTTATTGTTTCCAGCTGAAGTTTATCTATCTCATTTTCTCCTGATTGTCTCTTCTCCGCTCCTTATAAATTAGATCCAACTATTAGCAACAATTGCTACACTTCTCCTGAAACATGGGGAGGCTTTGGGGGCCAAGTTGAAGGGCTCCCAGCTATTTTTTTTTAAGGTTATTCAAAAAATAAGGCTTTTTTAAGGTTCTTTAAAAAATATTATTTTTAATCATTTCCATTTTCAGTACTCTGTCATCATTATCCTCTTTTGCAAGCCACAGAGTAAAGGCTTTTGCTTATTCTTATGTCCTGTCAAAGGAGAATTTAGCTGTAAGACAAGGGGATGAAAGTCCCCGACCGATTGCAAAGAGCATGGGAGCATAGTGCAGGCCAGTTTTACCCATAATGACAATAACTACAGCTATCCCTTCCCCACATTAGTGAGGTGAGATTTTCCAAAGGATTTATTTCCAAATAAAGTCTCTGTTCTCTAGTACCTGAAGCCTTTTCCCCCCCTTCATTTCCATCCATCAGCTCAGCAGCAACACTATGGCTGAACAAAACCTTGTCACTCATTGAGTCTCTAGCTGTAACATTTACCCCAACGTCATGGTGAGTAGCTACAGCTTTGGGGACAGCATCATGTCTAGGACCAGATGCAATCAGTCCAGCGGGGTCACTCTGGCTACCTGAGTGCCTTCATACAAGCTCATCAGTTATACCTGAAACCCAGGATAAAACAGCTATGAAAAGTGACCCCTTAGGCCACGTCCAGACAAGCATGGCTATGTGGCAGCACAGACCCCTCTGCAGTGCTAGGTACTGCACATTCAGGCATTCCCCATGCTGCTAGTGGGGTTTTTTTAGCCCCTGGAGATCCAGGGGTCAAAAAACCCGTGCAGTATAAAAGTGGGGTGGTGCACATGGCCAGCCAGAGCCACACTCCAGTTGCCGCCCAAGCTCCAAGTTGCAGGAGCGACGCGGCTGCAGCTTCCCCGGCCCCCGGGACCCCAAATAAAGCTTCTGGGGCCAACAACTGTGCTGGCCCCAGCCTCCCCTACCCCACCTGGGGTAATCTGCCACGTGCCAGAGGACGCGTGGCACAGTGCTTCCCCCAGGACAACTAGCAGCGGCACAAGGTGTCCCACCGCTAGTTGTTCCCGAGGAACCAAACGTCCGCGTTCATCTGGACACGGCCTTAATGTGTGATTATAATCCGCACACCTGTGTCGCTTATGATGCAAGTCTATCACCGCCCACCGCTGCAGACAGAGACCAGTTATTATCCTCGCTGCTTTTCCATCAGGAACTCCAAGTTTTGGTGTCTAGTGCTAGGCGAGGTGGCAGGCATCACAAGACTATCTCGCTTTTCCACCCCGCGCCCCGTTGAGCGTGGAGTGCAAACTCCTTGAGAGGCATAGGAGCACCGCGTGGTCTGCAATGCATGGTTAGAGACCTGTAAAAAGGAGCAGCATCTGGGTTTTGCATAGAGCAGGGCTGGCCGCAGTTAGATGGGTGCATGCCACTCTCTTATCATCTCCTTTTTAAAACTTCTTCTCTTTCCTCCTCTTCTTCCTGCAGGGTGTGCGTTTGTGAAATATTCCTCACACGCGGAGGCCCAAGCAGCCATTAATGCCTTGCATGGCAGCCAGACAATGCCGGTGAGTAGTCCACTAATAAGGAAGAGTGCCTGGTGGGTTTGTTCAGCCCATGCTGTCCCCCGGTCAGATGGAGTGGTGAAGGGAGGAGGGGGGGAGATGATTTATTGGTACTTTGTGCCTCTTCTTCCAGGGAAGATGGATAGCAGCTCAGGCATGGGGGCCTCGGGTCTGTTTTGCAAGTCAATGGAAAAGCCGGGGTGGCACTGACTGTTTCAGATGTGCATGGGCCTGAGAAATGCAGTGTCCTGTGACCAGCAATGATAGAGTTTTGATTGTCTGTGAAAGAGAGACAGCCACAGATGTTATAAACACTGGGCCAAATTCATCCCTAAGGGAGTTCCTCTGGTTTCACAGGAGTGGAGCAGGCCTGAGTTTTTCTTCGCCAAAGAAAAACCTGTCTGGATGAGAGCAATAAGGAGCAGTCTTTGCTTTTCAGTGGAGGACAGTATAGATGCACAGTGGAATTAACTGAGGGGCAAGCTATACTCTGATTTACCCTCTCTGGGCACCTCTACACGTGCACTTTGCTGCTCATGAGACTAATTTATTGCACAGTAAAAACATCACTGTCTCCATGTGCACTGCAGTTCATGCACCGTAGATTCATTTACTCTGGGGTAAGATAGTCATTGTGGGACCCCTGGCATGGCTTTACGAGCACTCGTGGTGCTCTGGCAAGGTGCCAGAGGACTGGAAAAGGGCCAGTGTGGGAGGAAGGAGGACCCAGGAAACTACAGGCCTGTTAGTCTTACCTTGGCCCTGGGGAAGCTCTTTGAGAAAATTATC